GTTCTTGGGCAGTCCCACCCACCAGTGCAGGCCTAAAGACACTGCTCCCGGTGCGAACTTTCAAGGATGTTTCCATTTCTGAAAGGCCCAAGCTTAGATTTTTTTTTTTTCAGGCTTAGTGGCAATGTATTTCTCAGAGGGTGCAGGCTGCAAAGCAGAATGCCTGGTTAGAGCTTTAGCGACCATTCCAGGTCGCATTTAGGAAGGAGCCAGCTATTTCACTAAGAGCACAGCCACGCATTAGGCTGGAGCTGCTATATAGGAAGGACTGGATGAAGGCAAGTGGAACCTGGGGCAAGGGAGTGGGGGAGGGGCACAGGAGTAAACAGCGAGTTTGGCAACCACAGCGCCTATGCAACCTGGCCAGGCTTAGATTTGTTGAAAGAATACCACTTGTGCCAAAAGTGCAAAAAGAACCTAAGAACTTGTGTGACATACAGGGACCTTCAACTGAAGATACTGAGTTCACAGAAGGTAATTTTGCAATCTTGGCACTGGGTGGTGGTTACTTCTACTGGGGCCATTTTGAAATGATGCACCTGACAATCAGCCGCTCTATGGACCCCAAGAACATGTTTGCCTTATGGCGAGTACTAGCCCCTTTCAAGCCCATCGCCACCAGAATATGGGACAGCATATGGGGAGCGGCAAAGGCACCATTGATCACTTTTTGACTCCTGTGAAGACTGGCCACCAGCTTCATTAAAGAGATAGGCAGCTGTGAATTCAAAGAGATACAAGGTTTCCTCCACCAGGTTGCCCACAAGGTGCCCTTCCCAGCAAAGGCTATGAGCCGTGAAACCCTAGAGAAGATGCGGAAAGATCAAGAGGGTAACAACCAAAACCCTGGGACCTTTGAGTGCATAGCCACTGTCAACATGCTAGGGATACGGAAAGTACTGAGCCCCTATGACCTGACCCAGAAGGGACAATACTGGGGCAAATTCTACCTGCCTGAACATGTGTAGTGAGAATATGAGAAATAAATGTACAAAGAGAAGGAATCTACATTTTTGTTCTCCTCAGTTACCCTGAAAGTCTGGGTAGCTCTGATGTCATAACCAAGGAGCCGCATATGAGTGCTGTAGATGAAAGTGCATTATATTTATATTAAATAAAATTTCAGTATCACCTCTGGCTAAAAAAAAGAAAAGGAACAATGCATTCTTCATGGATTGCTCTAAGGATCTGATGAAATCCTGTTTGCCTGGAGCACAAGTGCTCAATAAAAGGTAGCTGCTATTATTAGTAGTATTAATATTATTAGAGCTGGAAGCAGGGAGAGGGTCCTGGGTGGTGAATGGGAAGGGTCCCAGAAGAGGAGTGATGGGAGCACCTTGGAGGACACAGGATGGGAGCACGTGGGCTGGACCAAGAAAATGTAGAGGCTGAGGTTCAGTGGGGTCTAGTGAAGCAAGAGAAATCCAGCTCCTTGACTGTCTTTTACCAAAATGTGAGTGTGTGTGTGACTATGAAAGGATTAATGATCCACAGTATCAAAGAAAACTATAAACACTTAGAATATTTGGACATAGTAACTCATAGATCTTGGTTTCTAAATATCATTCTTTTACTAGAGGAAACAGGAGATCTTTCAGGGTTGGAGATGACTGCAGGGCATCTGTGGCACCCGAAAATAATCATTTTGCTGAGGTCCCAACCAATGATGGACACATGTCCAAAAGACATGGGCCAACCTGAAAGGGCTCCTCTGGGACAATCGTGAAAGAAATGGATTGTGACCCATAGACTAAAGTAAAAGCCCAGTATGTCCATACTGACATAAACAAATTGTTGGTAGAGGAAGGAAAGCTCTTCTCTACAAATTCTAGAATTTATAGAATTATTGGAATTCTACCTAATAAATGTAAAAGAAAAGTCACCATTTGGCAAATGCCACAGTAATAATTATTTTATAGGAGAATCATCAGTGTATGCTAAACTCAGTAAAATATGATGAGAAACAGGATATTAACAACCTCATAGAATCTCTCTCAAGGTAATTATTAATCACAAAGGGGAAAATGGTAACTTTACAGTAAAGAATCCTGGCAGCCACCTTAACCAAGTGATCAAAGTTAATGGACCAGGAATGGACCAAGTCAGCATCATGTGCCTCTTGATATAAGGCACTGAGACGGACACACTATATCTGTAATATTCTTGCCAAAAAAAAGTATAACCTGACTTTAGTCATGTGAAAACATGAGACACCTAAAATAAGGGACATTCTACAAAATAACTTAGCAAGTACTTCTTCAAAAATGTCAAAATCATGAAAGACAAAGAAAGACTGAGAGAGTGTTCCAGACTAAAAAAGACTAAAGAGGCATAATGACTAAATGGAATATGTGATTCTGGGTTGCACCCTGAACCACAAAAGGGAGATTTATAGGACAGCTGGTGAAATTTGTATAGTATTATACCAATATTAATTTCCACATTTTGATTACTGCACTGTGGTTATATAACATTTGAGGAGTTGGGGTGAAGGGTATATGAAAATTCTTTGTACTCTTTACAACATTTTTGTAAGTATGTAATTAATTCAAAATGAAAAGTTTAAAAAAATTAGCCCTAGCTGGTTTGGCTCGGTGGACAGAGCGTCGGCCTACGGACTGGAGGGTCCCAGGTTCGATTCCGGTCAAGGGCATGTACCTTGGTTGGGGGCACACCCCCATAGGGGGCGTGCAGGAGGCAGCTGATCAATGTTTCTCTCTCATTGATGTTTCTAACTCTCTATATCTCTCTCCCTTCCTCTCTGTAAAAAAAATCAATAAAAATATATTTTAAAAAAATTATAATTGTAGTTTTTTGACCAAATGAGAAAACTCCCAAATTGATTTGGCTGTGTAATCAGCTACTAATTACTGTTACTGATGGAAACTGCCTAATTTCCAGGTCACATAATGAGGAGCATTAACATAAATTTAGTAGCTTAAAATACCACCCGTTTATTAGTTTGCAATTCTGTAGGTCAGAAGTCACACAGCAAGACTGAATTCTCTGCTCAGGGTTTCATGGGGCTGAAATCAGGGTGCTGGCTGGGCTGAGTTACCATCAGGACACTCTAGAGAAAAACCTGCTTCTGAGCTCATTCTCATTGGCAGAATTCAGTTCCTGTGGTTGTAGGAATAAGGATCCATTTCCTTGCTGGCTGTCTGGCTGTCAGCAGGGGCTACTATCAGCATCCAGAGGCTGCCTGCATCCCTTGCCATATGGCTCCTCCATCTTTAAATCAGCCAGGCTGAGTCCTTCTCATGCTTTGAACTCTGATTTCTTTCCAAACCAACCAGAGAGAACTCTCTGCCTTAAAGGACTCAGGTCACTAATTAGGAATCTTAATTACATTTGCAAATCCAGCAGTACTTAGATTAGTGTTTGACTAAATACTCGTAACTGGAAAAGCTGTATGTGCAACAGGCCCGGGAATCTTGGGGGCCATATGAGAATCCTGCCTACCACAGAGAGTAATTTCTTAAACCAAATACATGGATATGAATTGGCAAGCAGCTATGAGTGGGGGAGTGGGAAATGGACTGCAATGAGGACATGGGCTGCCCAATGCCCCCTGAGTCAGTCTGACCTGACTCAGCTAAAGGTTGATTCTCAGAGAGGGCTTCCTTTCCCTCCTAATAATCCTCTTATTTATTTATTATTTTTACTTTTTTGTTAATCCTCATCTAAGGATATTTTTCCATTGATTTTTAGAGAGAGTGGAAGGGAGGGTGAGAGACAGAAACATCAATGTGACAGAGACACATTGATTGGTTGCCTCCCACACAGGCGCCTCCCTACTGGGGCTGGGGATCGAGCCTGCAACTGAGGTACCGTGCCCTTGACTGGAATCAAACTCTTGACTCCTTAGTTCATGGGCTGATGCTCAATCCACTGAGCCAAACCGGCTAGGACAATCCTCCTATTTAAACTCTACTTCTGTGTGCAGCCCTGACTGTATTGGAATGTAATTATCCTCCCTTTCTGCTGAATTTTCAGAAATCAGGATTTAGTTTCCAGGAGGCAATTCCTTTTTTATATTTAATTTTTATTCATTGATTTTTAGGGAGAGGGAGGGAGAGATGGAGAGAGAGAGAGAAGGAGAAGGAGAGGGAGAGAAAGAGGAGAGAGAGAAAGAGAGACCTATTTGTACCACATGCACTCATTGGTTGATTCTTGTATGTGCCCTGACTGGAGATTGAACCCACAACCTTGGCTTATTAGGATGATGCTCTGACTAACTGAACTACTCGGGCAGGGCTATTGGAGGCAATTATTTTCAAATCCTTGATTAATGTCCTTGAAGCAAAGTCCATGTTCAATTGTCCTTGCAACTTTGCACACTCCAAGCAGTTATAGCTGGGGCACTTGGGAACATGTGCCCTGAGCCAGAAGGAAAGAGGAGCTGAGATGAGGTTACAAAGTCAGTGGTAGGCCTTACAAGCTGTTCACAGGGTCTAACTCAGGCCTCCGACACCCCCTGAGCCCAATGATGGGGCTGGATTGCAAACAGAGCCATTGGAAATATCAGAGCTCTAAAGGACTCAAAATGTAACTGGCCTGCCCTCTGAAGCCCATTCCCATCAATATATAATCAGGCCTTGTTTTTTTTAATGTTACAAAGAGCTTTCTCTTTTTTTCATAACACTCTGACAAATTTTTGACTCAAGCAGAGGCAAACATTCACCCCATTTCACTGATGATGGAGCTGGCCTCAGCTAGAGGAAGTGGTTTGCCCTGGCTGCTCGGCCAAAGGCAGACCAGAGACCTAAATGCAGGCCTCCTGACCAATGCCACTGTTCCCACTGTGCCACACTGCCCTTCTCCAGGGAGCTGTGTTCTCTCCTCCTGTCCTTGTCCTCCAGGTGGGACGTCACAGTCCTCAGAGGGTTGGCTCAGCTGGGACTGAGGGCCATTCAATCCCCATGTATTTAGTCTTTTTTTTAAAGTTGTTTTTAGAGAGAAAGAGGAAAGGGGATAGAGGGGGTGGGGGGAGGGAGAAACATCCACTTGTTCTTGTTCTTAATGACCTATTTACAGTTAAGGAGCCAGGCTGCCTCTTTCCCAGAATTCAGACTAAACTTCTCAGGCCAAGTGGTAGCTTTCCACCCCCATTATGGTCCTAGAATTGATGCTGAAGAGGAAAACAAGGAGTCACAGAGATTTCAAATTAGTCACATAATCACTTCTGGAGATAAAGGGTGATTCTTCATTGTGGGGTTTCACTTTACCTGTAATAAGGACACTTTAGAGGCCAACTAAACAGTGGGCAAGCCAGGCCAGTGGGGAGAGGTGGGACCGTGTGACCAAGTGCAGCACTGGCTCTTGTTTTGCCTCCTGGTGCCTCCACTCTGGCCACTGATTCCTTCCTCTGCCTCTGTTTCCCCATCTGTAAAATGTAGAGAATATTAGTTGTTGACAGAATGTAAGGAGCAAATGACTGCTTAAAAAATAAATACTGAATTTCTAACATTAGGCAAACATGCTGTATATTTTTATGTATATATATATATATATACATACATACACACACACACACACACACACACACACACAAACAACTGCTTAAAATTATTTTTATTTTCAATTAATATTTTATTCAAATTTAAAATGTTAGGTTTTCCTTAACCTTTTAGATCGAACTTAAACTGCTTTAGTCTACTTATAACTTTATTTGATAAAAACAGTAACATATAAAACTGTTAAGAAACCTTGAAAAGTGGTCCCATTCAAAAATTTAGTTATTTAAAATGCCTTAACAATTTTAAACCACATTTATGAAGTTAACACTTTATCATTTAGAATACTTGTTTGCTCACAAGCCTTCCCAAGTTCTTAACCAACTACATATGGTGAATCCTAAGTTGCCTTAAATGTTCTCATACTGCTTACAACCTTAATAGAATTTTTTGCACCTTTTAATTTAAATGACAAATCTATACCAAGCATGTCAAACTAGCGGCTGGCAGGCTGCATGTGGCCCACAACAAATATTTTTGCAGCCCAGCCAATATAATGGTATGTAAAAAAAATTTTTAATAAACATTTCATAACTTAATTTTTACAACATCCTGTTATACATAATTATTTTTTAATTAAATCTTATTGTTCAGATTATTACATTTGTTCCTCTTTTTTCCCCCCATAACTCCCCTCCTCCCAGTTCTCACCCCACCCTCCACCCTCACTCCCCACCCACTGTCCTCATCCATAGGTGCACAATTTTTGTCCAGTCTCTTCCCGAATCTCCCACACCCCTCTCCCCCCCCCCAAGAATAGTCAGTCCATTCCCTTTCTATGTCCCTGATTCTATTATAATCACCAGTTCATTCTGTTCATCAGATGATTTATTCACTTGATTCTTAGATTCACTTGTTGATAGATGCGTATTTGTTGTTCATAATTTGTATCTTTACCTTTTTCTTCTTCTTCCTCTTCTTAAAGGATACCTTTCAGCATTTCATATAGTACTGGTTTGGTGGTGACAGAATGTCCTTATCTGTGAAGCTCTTTATCTGACCTTCAATTCTGAATGATAGCTTTGCTGGATAAAGTAATCTTGGTTGTAGGTTCTTGGTATTCATCACTTTGAATATTTCTTGCCACTCCCTTCTGGCTTGCAAAATTTCTGTTGAGAAATCAGCTGACAGTCATATGGGTATTCCCTTGTAGGTAACTGAGTTTCTTTCTCTTGCTGAGTTTCTTTCTCTTGCTGCTATCTCTTTGTCTTTTGCTCTTGGCATTTTAATTATGATGTGTCTAGGTGTGGTCCTCTTTGGATTCCTTTTGTTTGGGGTTCTCTGCGCTTCCTGGACTTGTAAGTCTATTTCTTTCACCAGGTAGGGGAAGTTTCCTGTCATTATTTCTTCAAATAGGTTTTCAATATATTGTTCTCTCTCATCTTCTGGCACCCCTATAATTCAGATGTTGGTATGCTTGAAGCTGTCCCAGAGGCTCCTTACACTATCTTCGTATTTTCGGATTCTTTTTTCATTTTGCTTTTCCGGTTGGGTGTTTTTTGCTTCTTGGCATTTCAAATCTTTGACTTGATTCTTGCACTCCTCTGGTCTACTGTCGGGAGTCTGTATAATATTCTTTATTTCAGTCAGTGTATGCTTAATTTCTAGTTGGTTCTTTATCACAACATCGAGGGTCTCATTACATTTCTTGAGGATCTCACTATATTTATCGGCGGTCTCACCAGTCTTTTCGAAGGCCTTACTAAGTTTATTGGCGGCTTCTAGACAGTTCTTGAGAGACCTTAAAAGTGTGGTTTTGAACTCTATATCCTCCATTTCTGTCATTTTGTCCTGTTTCTTTGTCTCCGCATTTTTTATGCTTTCTTGGTGCACCCCCTTGTGGTCTTTGTGCACAGTCTTATTGTAGTTAAACCTTGATTGTTGTACGTAATACTGGGGGGGATTTGACTGCCAGGCCAACTGGCTGTGAGAATCAGCTGTGTCTGCAGTGGGAGAACTTCTGTCCTCTAGGGAAGTGCTAATCTAGCCTTTGCCTGAGGCTATCCCGCAAATGCCTCTGTGCAAGGCTTGGGCAGGGCGGGTCCCAGGGGATCAACAGGGCTGGCGGAGCGAGCAGTTATGACTGCTCTCAGTCCCGTCCCCAGAGGCTCTGCCTCTCAGAGTCCCAGCAACCGCTGCAAGTACCTCGGAGAGAAAGCTGCCCTCGAGTTCTGACTGATGCCAGACAGTCCCGCTTCTCCCGTTTCAGTCTGGGTCCCCAGAGACTTGCCCGGAACTGGAGCTCAGAGCCTGAGACTCCCTCCCTATTGAAACAGACAACCGCGCCCTCAGTCGCCAGCCCGCTCCGCATACACCTCCGCACCTTTGTATTTTCCACACTGTGCCTCCTCTGAGTCTCGGTATGCTTTTCTCATTCCTTCTAGTTGTAGAATTTCCCCTCAGCCAGCCTTCCTGTGGTTCTGGGCGATGTCCATCCCATCTTTTAGTTGTATTTTTGAAGTGGTTGTGCGAGGCAGCAATCTCTGGTGTTTACCTATGCCGCCATCTTGGTTTCTCCACCCTGTTATACATAATTATTAATAATGAATACAACTAACTACAACTACAGTTCGCTAATGACTGATTACTATAATCGTGTTGCATTCATTTCCCTTACACACCTTACGTGCATGCGCACCATTTCTCTCCACTAATACTAGTAGCAAATATTTTAGCAGCCGATTGCCACATCATTAGTCTTGGACTAACTTGTTTGGTGTGCGCAACAGAAAATATTTTGCTTTTGGAGAACAAGAAAAATAGGTTTACTTGCGTTATGCTTATTAATTTGTGCAATTATTCGGTGTCTGATAGGTTAATATTCAAGAAAAAATATTAATTTTTATTAAAATGTTCTATTATTTTACATTAACGATTACTCATTTATTTCAGCCCTTTGTATTCAGCATGTCTCTATATAAATAAACCTAGATTTCTATGAAAATTGAAGCTTTTGTTCTTTTATGGCCCACATAAACTTAAACCTTGTTTATTAGGCCCGTGTTAGCCTTTGAGTTTGACATACTTGGTCTACTCAATTACATTTTTAAAACTAGAATCACAAGATCAGTCCATTGGATACTCAAATTTATCACATTCTCTTAAAATTGCAAGTTCTTAAAATACCAAACAGATACAGGTCACCTAAACTTAACTCCAAAATAGCAAAAGCCTGAGTTGAATTTGCTTCACATTCCTCTGTTTATATAAACTTTTCCAGGGTTAAAAGAAACTTACCTAATCAAGTTACAATTATGTTATTACCAGCAAGCTGGAGGTCCTGTCCTACAGCACTAAGGTAACTTACAGACCAGAAAGACCCTCATTAGGATGGTGAAAAAACACATAATAATGGTTTTCCAGGCCTTCTGAATTGTGGGGTTATATTATTTTTGCAATAAAATGTTTAAAACTAAAGAGAAACCTAAATTACAGATCTGCCACAAGGGAGTTTCCAGATGGGAGATAAGCTTTTAAACTATTACAAAGCATTTGTTGCTTACTTAGCCTTGGCTCCAAGAATTGGCCAGGGAATTAATTTCTAAATGGTGTCATGTTCTGGAGGCATCAGTAATTGTGTTCAGGGCTTTGGCCTGGCCATTGTGCAGTTTCCTCAGGCACAGGCTGCACAGATGGAAGGACAGCTAATGACTAGAGAGAGGGACAGGCCTGTGGAGGATTAAAGAAAAAGAGTCAAAATCAGTCCATGAAGGGCACTTCATTAGTGCCTAAGTCTTACAGTGGTTCTCAACTTGTGGGTCGCGACTCCTTTGGCGGTCGAACGACCCTTTCACAGGGGTCGTCTAAGACCATCCTGCATATCAGATATTTACATTACGATTCATAATAGTAGCAACATTACAGTTATGAAGTAGCAACGAAAATAATTTTATGGTTGGGTCACAACATGAGGAACTGTATTTAAAGGGCCAGAAGGTTGAGAACCACTGGAAGAGATCATCAGAACTCAGGGCTCTAAAGGGCAGATATCTAGCTCAAAAGAACTTAGGCAAAAGGGTAATTTTCTGAAAGAATACTGATTACTCGGGATGAAAAGCAGAACATCCTAACCACAGGATAAGACAACACAGCTGCGGGCCCGCAGGGAGGTCCCAGGGAACAAGGCCGCTCCCACGGAATCTGTGAGTTCCGAGCTGGGAGAGAGTGGTTCTGAGGAAGGGTGTGGGCTGTTCAGAAGGATAGTCATGGTTCAGAAGAGCAGCTTGTCCCCTGGGCTTCATCAAGGCAGAACTGGTGCATTCTACCAGAAAGGTCAGGAATCAGGAGATCTGAATCTAGTGCAGTGATGGCAAACCTATGACAAGTGTCAGAGGTGACATGCGAACTCATTTTTTTGGTTGATTTTTCTTTGTTAAATGGCATTTAAATATATAAAATAAATATCAAAAATATAAGTCTTTGTTTTACTATGGTTGCAAATATCAAAGAATTTCTATATGTGACATGGCACCAGAGTTAAGTTAGGGTTTTTCAAAATGCTGAGACGCCAAGCTCAAAAGGTTCGCCATCACTGATCTAGTGCCTACTCCTATCACCAACACACTTGCTCACCTTGGGCAAGCCCCTTCCCTTCTCTGGGCCTCGTAATCTCTACTTCAAAGTGACTTAGAGCCCTTGAAGGGGACGTGCCAGGCCTGACATTACAGTTCTCTGAATAAGAGAGAGAAAGGCAGATTGGGAAGCAAAAGGAGAGGAAATAAGGGCACTGGGAAGACTGACAAGAGACAAACACCCTAAGCAAATAGGGATTTAAACAGGAAAACACCGCCTCCAGGGAAAGTGCTTAGTCAGGCACGAAATAAGAGGGAGAGGCTGGTGGCCCATGTTGCACCAGAGGGTCTGGTCACCCCACAGGGAGAGAGCCTGGCCATTCTTGTTGGCAGACCCTCTGAAGTGCCCCAGGACAGGTCCCCCACTCATTTTATTTCTCCCTGAATCCAACTTCTGGCATCTGTGATACTATTCAAAAGCAGAGTGACTGTGCACAATCCTTTTTATGGAATGTTTCCTCTCAAGACATGTGCTCTGAGCCTGCCGGGTACTGAGCAGATAAATGAACATTTACTGGATGGATGAAGGATGGATGTTTGGAGGACTGTACTCCTCAAAGCTTAGAGCTATGACATTCATTTTTTATCTTCAGTTCCAAGAGCCTGGTTCACTGTAGATGCTTAACTGTTGAATGAATGAGTCAGTCAATCACAAAGCTACCTTTGCTGCTGAATATGGATTCATATTTCTGTGTGGCTTGGACTCCAAATACGTCCCGTCCCTCTTTGTGTCACTGGTTCTATCAATTCTCAGAAAATACTCAGTAAACATTTGTTTAAAATCAGGTCTTCTCTATTTCCTGTTCTGTGACTCAGTGTTTGATACACAGAAAGAAAAGGAAGAATAGATGTTTATTTAAGAAGTGCATGCCTCGCCCAGCCAGCCGGCATGGCTCAGTGGTTGAGCGTCCACCTATGAACCAGGAGGTCAGGGTTTGATTTCTAGTCAGGGCACATGCCTGGGTTGTGGGCTCAATCCCCAATAGGGGGCATGCAGAAGGCAGCCGATCCATGATTCTCTCTTCTCATTGATGTTTATATCTTTCCCTTTCTCTCTGAAATCAATAAAAATATATTTTAAAGTAGAAGTGCATGCCTCTGAGAGATAATGACCTGTCAGGGTTCACCTTCAATGAGGGATGCTCTAAGTGTGAGTGTTTGGCATGCTGCCCACCTGTATCAGAGAGGGAAGTTGCTGGAAGAAACAACTGGCAGATGTCAGTGGCTTTGCATAGAAGTGTATCGTGCTCACAGCAGTGTTTGTGTTGGTGGATGGGGTGGGGTGGAGACTCTGCATTTACAGACTTAGGCACGTATCTTCTTGCCGGTCCTGGTATCTTCTATTGGATCCTCTGCCAACAGTCAGACTCAATCCTGAGCTCCAGTGCTGGGGCAGCAGCTTGAAAGGCACCAGAGACAAATGGGGAGGAACTGAATTGTCCAGCATCGGGCCAAGACCTGGGGGAGGCAAGTGGGGGGTGGGGGGTAGGGAAGACATGACAGCTTCCTCCCAAACATGCTGGCAGAGGCCATTGTTCCTTTTCTGAATCTGCTCCCACCCCCATCCCCACCCCCCTGAGCTGGCCAGCAGGCACCATATTTAAGACTGTACTAAACATGTGTTAAAATACAATTAAACAATTTTTCCTAAGTCCTGTATTAAATTTAAAAATGATCCTGGGAGTCACTAATTTTCAGATACCAATTCTATCAGTAAGGTTTGTCTGTCCATAAGTAACAGAAACCTGAATCTACTTAAACAAGAAAGGGCTTCTTTCTGGTGTAGGAAGTCCGGAGGTAAGCAGTCCAGGGCTGGTGCAGTGAATCTATAGTGCTCTGTTCCATGGTACATGGCATTCTTGCCCACAGTCTGACCACTGCTGTATCTCCAGGCATCAGGGCCACATCACTCAAGGTTGAACTGGGACAAAGAAGCAGCACTAGGTCATCTTTCCCTTTTACCAGGAAAGTAAAAGGTTTCCCTGAAAGACCTCAGACATTTCTACTTCCATCTCATTACACAGAATTGTAACTTGGGTGCTGGGAAGCAGAAAATGTGCTTCCTAGGGGCAGGTGGGGAAAAAGAAGTGGGCCATGTCATGTTACCCCAGTGATCCTGTACAGAGAGGGTGGTTTTAAAGACTTCAGTTCTCTTCAAAATGACCAAATGTTGCCTGGCCGGTGTGGCTCAGTGTTTGAGCATCGACTTATGAACTGGGAGATCACGATTGGATTCCCAGTCGGGGCATATGCACAGGTTGCGAGCTCAATCTCCATTGTGGGGTGTGCAGAAGGCAGCCGATCAATGATTCTCTCTCATCATTGATGTTTCTGTCTCTCCCTCTTCCTTCCTCTCTGAAATCAATAAAAATATGTGTTGTTTTTTTTTAAAAACACAACACAACAAAAAAAACCAATCAACCGTTGGTTGGGAGAAGCATTCTTTCTTGTATATTTAAGGTTCTTCATATCCCAGTCCTTAAAACTTACTCAAAGTAAATGTTTTAGACAAACACCAATCTTAGACTAAGGATTTTAAAGCATTTTACTAAAATGAACTGTTTCAGATTCCCAAGATGAATCTGAAGTTCAGAGTCGACATCCTGTCTTATAGGTAAGTCTGATGTCATAGCTTTGCCATCAGACTAAGGATGCTCAGTTGCCCGTCTCTGGCTGGCTGGATTAACTGAAAACTGATGAGGACTTAGAACCAAAAGTTTTGTCCACCCTTGGCTGGGTAGGATGAGTCGACTTTCCTTTCAAGGAAAATTGTATGAGTCAGTCAAACACCTGAAGTTTTGGTGTGGATGAAAGTGGCTTTAGTAAAAGGCTCCCACTTTGAAATTTTTTGTTTTAACATGACTCTAAGAGCCAGAAAAAGAGAAATATATATATATTCTATAAGCTCTGAATATGTTTATCAGGCCAATTATACCTGCATCTGCTTACTAGCATTATCATTGACATATTTTAGAACCATATTTGTGTCCATATTTTCAACATGATATATATTTTTACTTAACTCATAGTGCCATGAGTTTTATAAGCTTTTTTAAAAAATATTTTTTATTGATTTTGAAAAGAGAGGGGAAGAAAGAGACAGAAAGACCGATGAGAAAGATCAATGAGAGAGAAACATCAATTGGCTGCCTCCTGCATGCCCCACAGTGGGAATGGAGCCTGCAACCCAGGCATGTACCCTAATCGGGAATCAAACCATCGATCTCTTGGTGCATGGGTCAACGCTCAACCATTAAGCCACATCGGCTAGGCAGAATGGTAAGCATTTAATCTATAATTCTTTAGTAGCTAACTGGTATAAAAATATATAATTTCCCTGAATATTTTAAGCCTGATCCAGTCAACAAACAAATCACATAATTTGGCTTAAATTATTACTCTATTAAGATAAGCAGAGAGATGGCATCTTTTAACACTGGAAAAGGCAACTTATATCACTTCTCCCCTTTCTCCCAATATTTCCAAATTGACTTGTTTGAAAAAGAAGTTTAACATCTTAATCCCCTTTAATCCCTGGGAAGATGAAATATTTCAACACACATAAGCTCACTAAGGGCCATCAAACAGCACAGTGGATGTGATGGAAATGTTGGAAATGTTATTTCCGTCTTTGGAAACAACTTCTGGGTCTACCTAAAAGGTTTATCATTAGTTGAAGGGGACTAGCTGCTCATAATGAGGAAATGTGTGGGTGATCAGTGAGGAGGAAGGTTTATTTTTATCAGAAAACATGCATTTGTCTAATCACCTGGAGGAAAAAGTGCTGCTATTATTCTTGCATAGTCGTTGTTATAAAAATAATAGTTGGTGAGATGTGGCAAAATGTGGAAATTATAAACCACCATTATTGCCAAGGTGAATGCATTCATGTTGTTGTTTTGTATGTGTGTGTTTAGAGAGAGTGGAAGGGAGGGGGAGAGACAGAGAAACATCGATGTGAGATATATTGATTTGTTGCCTCTGAGCTTTCAACCAAGGTACATGCCCTTAACTAGAATTGAACCTGGGACCCTTCAGTCTGCAGGCTGATGCTCTATCCACTGAGCCAAACCGGTTAGAGCCATTCATGAGTTTTATAAGCAACTGCCCATATGAAGTCTCTAGAGAAACTGAGTCCTCATTAAAGTGAAAATTATTAGATTCTGTTTCCTCATGGAAAAGGATAAATTCTGTGGTTAAAGCATCGTTCCAATACACAAAGGTACAGGTCTGATCTTTGATCAGGACACATACAAGCAGCAGCCAATGAATGCATAAATAAGTGGAACAACAAATTGATGTTTCTTTCTCTCTCTCTCCCCCCTTCCTCTAAAAGAAAATTTTAAAAAATATGTTTTTATTTATTTCAGGGAGAAGGAGAGAGATAGAAACATCAATGATGAGAGAGAATCATCAATCGACTGCCTCCTGCACACCCCCTACTGGGAATCAAACCCGCAATCCCGGGGCATGTGCACTGACTGGGGTGATCTCTGATCTTCTGATTCATGGGTTGATGCTCAATCACAGAGTCACACCGGCCAGGCTCTTTAAAATAAAATTTTTTTAAAATTTTAATAAAAATAGGTGGACAGCTGTAAAAAAAAAAAAATCTTACCTTTTATGACAGCATAGATGGAGTTGGAATTATTCTAAGAGAAATAAACCAGTAAGAGAAAGACAAGTCCCATATGATTTCACTTATATGTGGAATCTAATGAACACAATAAAATAACAAAATAGAAACAGACTCATAGATACAGCGAACAGACTGGCAACTAACAGAGAGGAAGGGTTTGAGGGACTAGGTAAAAAAGGTGAAGGGATTAAGCAAAACAACAACAACAACACACCTCATAGACACAGACAACAGTATGGTGATTATTAGAGGGAAAGAGGCTGGGGATGTAGCCTTTTTTTTTTTTTCTGGCAGCCTGTGTCCAGCCAAAACTTGGAAGTTATTTTCCTGTGAAAAAGAGGGTGAATGGATGTTAGGTAGGCAGCCAGTGGGGGGAGGTAAAAGACGATAAAGGGCCGACAAATGGTGACAGAAGGAGACTTGATTCGGAGTGGTGAACACACAGTACAGTGTACAGATGATGTATTATAGAACTGTACACCTGAAACATAATTTTATTAATCAGTGTCACCCCAATAAATTCAATAAATAAAAAAATACAAAAAAATAGGTGGACAGAGAAATAAGCACAGTGAGTCAGAGACCTGAGTAAAAGTGAAGATGATTCAAAGTGAGGTGATTGGGAATTAAGAAAAATTCTCCTCTTCGATCCTTGTCCCTGTCTCCTTAGGACTTTTTACAGAGCTAGAAGTTTTACTTTTAGTAAATATAATGTCTTCATCAAAAACAGTCTTCCTTTTTGTTTACTCTGATAATCTCAACTTATTTGATTGTTGCAGAAACCCTACTTCTTTCCATACTTTGGAGTGCTTAATAAATACCTCCTAGGAAGGGCATGAGAGAATGCATTTGGAAGAGTAGCACAGAGAAGACTGTGACACCCAGATGCAGGGAGCTGAGGGGCACTGATTCCTATGAACTAGGGGAATCTTAGAGCAGGATAGGGAATGCTGGGACTTAGACATACAGTTATGCTTGCAAAATTGTAGACATTAAGCATCATAACTTTCCACTCTATGGAAAATTTTCTGGCTGCCTACCTAACATCCATTCACCCTCTTTTTCACAGGAAAATAACTTCCAAGTTTTGGCTGGACACAGGCTGCCAGAAAAAAAAAAAAGGCTACATCCCCAGCCTCCATTTGTAGCTAACCACTCATCTGACAAAGTTCTGTGCAATGCAAAGTAGCAGAAATATTGTACTGCAGTATTAAAGAACAACTGGGATGTGCCCCATAAACTCTTCTTCCATCCCTCTTTCTCCTTCTTGTAAGGGGAAGGCATATATGATGGATGGAACTTACACAGCCTTCACAGATCAAGAAGTGGAAGGCACAAGCTAAGGATGGCAGAGAAATTAGACAGCACGTGTTCCTGATACTTTCACCTGGCCACCTCTGACTGCTTAGCTTGTATGCAGATGTCATTAGTCAGGATGAGATCATACTTGGTGTAGGGTGGGCCTTATGAAAAAAGAGACATGAAGACAGAACACCAAGTTATACATCTCTAAGCCAGAAGCTGCCAGTGATGGCCAGCAACCACTGGAAGTTTAGGAAGAGGCAAAGAAGTATCATGACCTAGGGCAGTGGTCGGCAAACTGCGGCTCACGAGCCACATGCAGCCCTTTGGCCCCTTGAGTGTGGCTCTTCCACAAAATACCGACTTCTGCGCATGGGCCACAAAGTTTCAATCGCACTGTACATGCGTGCCCACACGTGGTATTTTGTAGAAGAGCCACACTCAAGGGGCCAAAGAGCCACATGCGGCTCGCAAGCCGTGGTTTGCCAACCACTGACCTAGGACATTCAGAAAGCACCTTGACACCTTGATTTCAGATTTGCAGCTTCCAGAACTGAGACAGAATTCATTTTTGTTGTTTTAAGCCTCCTGGTTTGTGGGGATTTGCAATGGCAACCCCAGGAAACAGTTACAGCTACTGTTATAGTTTGCTGTCTTTGTAATATGAGGCCTAACCTAACCCTTATATAGTCATCATGTAGAACACACTACTTTTCCCACTTGATTCCAATGTCACTGCTCACTCAAGAAATGAAAGTTCTGCTGGAAAATGGCTGATTTCTTCCACTGATTTATAGGCGATAAAGAACTCTGCCCAGAACCTTCCTCACTTCACCTGCCACTGAGATTCAGTAGTGTTCTCCGTGACCACCTTTCTTCTAAAAAATGCAGTAAGAGGGCAGACCAGGAAAACTGACTAATAAGATTACTCAGTTTACTTTCTAATACATAAGTTCTCTCATTCTTGTTCCATCTTTCCTGATCACTCTTCGCCCTTCTCTATCTACCCTTGGGCCCACCCATTCTGGGCAAGGAACCTTTGGGCTATCCCAGAAACCACTCAAGTGCTAACTGGGGCATATATTTTAGAGCTGGCTAAAGTAGCTAAGGGAACAAGGCCACACTCCAAAATTTCAGATATATAATTACATTAATTCCAAAAAGAAAAGAACAAAAACAACCGGTTTTAGTTGGATAATTGCCATGTGAAGTTAACTCTAGGTGAGAGAAGTGCTTTCAATGCAGCTAACAAGATCCTTACTTTTTGCTTTTCCTTACTTTTCTCTTCAGGTTGGCATTTGGCCTTTATATCCGAGTACACCAAGGAACATGGAAGG